TTCCCAGGCTCCCTGTGCTCAGGGCTGGGAGCTGGGGCCAGCCGGGAGCGGTGGCCCTGGCCCCCCGCCAGCCCCTCGATGCTTGGCCTCACGCTCTTTCCATTTGGTAAAGGCCTCCTGCTCCATCGCCACTGCCGGGAAACGCTGTCTCAGCAGCTCCCGGCCCCACTCCCCGCCGGGTAGGCTGCGTGGAAGACAAACCCCAGGTGCAAAGGGATGGGTGGCGATGAGACCTCACCGCGGGGAGCAGCCCGGTGCATGAAGACGCAAGGAGGCATGCACCAACCCAGGGGATAATGTCTCCTGCTTATTCACAGGCTGGAGCAGGCCTGCCCGGCCTCGTGCTCCAGCACCGGGAATGCTCCAGGGGACATTGGCCAAGCAGGGGGGGCTGTGGGAGCAGCGAGGGGCTGTCACCCTGTGTGGCCCTGCTGAGCACCTGCGGTCCCCTGTGGCGAGTTGGCAGGGTGGAGACGGGCGCATCCAGCACCTCTCCAAGTGGGGCAGCCCGGTGGCATGCCAGGAGGGTGGCCAGCCCCACAGCTGGCACAACAGCCACCTCTGCCCTGTGAACACTCGTCTTCCAGGCTCACCGAGAGCTCGTCCCTATCCAGATGGTCCAAGGGGGAGCTAGGGCTGGCCCCTGCGGGGGGTGATGCTCTGCCTGCGGCATCTGCCTCACCTTGTCGGGAGCTTTTTTCCCAGGGAATCGGCCCCAAAGTGAGTCAGAGCTGCCCAGATGGACACTTGGGAACATGAGCTCTCTGACAGCTCCCAGTGACTGGGGAACCCGATCTGCGGCTGCAGGAAGGGGCCATTTCCTCCGCACACAGCCCGAGTGACAACAACGCGGGTACCGCACCCAGCTCTGCTGCTCCTGATATGGTGAGGATGTTAAAGGAGTGGGTATAGGAAAAAGAAAGAAAAAAACCTAGCCCCAACAACAATAAAAAAGCCAAATGAGGAACAAGCTGCAGCTTGGAAATGCCATCCCACTGCCAGAGTGGAAATTTTGGCCTCTGGCAGCGTGAAGGGGTGGCTTGTCCCCGCAAAGGGACACGTTGGAGAGCTGAAGCCTTTGCGACTGCTGCAGCCCGGACCACAGAGCCCACTGGAAGCCAGAAAAGAGCCC